AGTGCTCTGCCACTGAGCCCTAGCCTTACCTGTCTGCGGGCTCTTTCTATCTGAAACTTCTCGCCCAGCCCCGTAGAGGATGGCTGGCTGCAGACCACAGGCCCCGGCTGCCCTGGCTGCCCAGCCTGGTCTCTTAACCTCCTGGGAGGCAGGGCTCGCCTGGGGAGGCTGCTGGAAGTCTGGGGATGCCTGGGACTGTGCTGGGTCTCCTGGTTCTTGTGTCTGGATGCCCTAGATACAGCACTTTGCCTCTGAATCTCTGCCCTCGGCCATTTGTCACCTTGGTCTTCCATTGGATGGTTCCAGCTGGAGCCCGACTGCAGAGGTCCCAGCGGTTCTCTTACTGTGGAGTCCTGGGTGTCTCGACCCCTAGAGCGGCCTTGTCTGGGGCCCAGAGGGTGAGCACAGGGGCGAGTGCCAGCTCAGGGCCCGGCTCCTCCACCCCCGCTGCCAGCCCCACCCAGTCACAGGGTAGCACTGGGCCTGCTGCAGGACTCTCGTGAGGACAGAATTAAGAAAGAGCATGCAGAGTCTGCCGTCTGTTGGTGGCTGGGGCAGGGCCCAGGTCACACAGGCATCCAGGAGGCTGGTCCGGGGCTCTTGGGGCTGGCAGGTGCCAGTCTGCAAATACCTGTTGGTTGGCTGCTGCTCTTGAAGGCTAGAGGCACCCTTATCCAGGGTGATTCTGCCCCAGGAGGCACTGGTGATGTCTGGGGGCATATGTGCTCGTCACTCCTGGAGGAGCCCCTGGCCTGGAGTGGCGGAGGCCTGGGACGCCTCCTCATGGCCTGCCTGCCCAGGGCCCCGCCCCAGAGAACAGCCGGCCCTGTGTCTACAGTGCTTTGGGGACACTGGCCTAACCATGTCAGAGGCAGTCACAGCCAGACCCCAGTCAGCTGCTGATGCGGGTGACAGAGGTCCCTCATTACAGGAGCGGGCCTTTCCTTTGTTCCTCGAAGAGCTTTAAAATGTGAAAAGAGTAGGGACCAGTTTTTCAAGATGAGCAGGACTGGAAGGAGTCAGAGTTTGGCCCAGGCCCTGTGACCAGACTGCTCTGCTCCTGGAGATGCCTGTTGGTCAGCAGAGGTCCTCAGAGCCGCCCCTGCCAGGGGAGGCCCAGCCCTGCAGCAGCCCTGACTGCTCTGGCCGACCCTGGAGCCTCAGGTGGAGCCTGGAGATGGCGCCCTGGCTCCTGCCCATGCAGGGGCGTGGCCTAGCTTCCCGAACTGAAATCTGGTGCCCTGTCCCTTCTCATACAGGAGAGAGCTCTCTGGGACCACACTGGCTTCAGGGGGCAGAAGGACCTAAGTAGGGCACAGGCTGCCCTCAGGCCACTTGGTCCTTGCTGGCCTAAGTGCCAGCCTGCTCACTCCCTGTGGTCTCAAAAGCAGATCTGGCCGTGGCCTGGCCCTGGAGCAAGGTCTTGCCTCAGCCCTGTGGACACCTGTCTGGTTCTCGGGCTGGGGTCTCCTGGGCACTACAGAGTGCTGGACAGCATCCTGGCCTCCACCTACTCCATGCCGGGGCACTCCGCCCCGCCCAGCAGTGACAGCCACAAGCCTTCGTGGACACCACCCCGCATCCCCTGGGGCACAGTGGCCAGGGCAGGAACTCCTGGGTACAGCGAAGGGGAGCTGCCTTTGCTGCACACCTGCTGAGGGGCGCCTAGAGCACCCACGGCTGCGGAGGGCTCCCCGAGCGGACCCTGGCTGCGCGTCACTGGCTCACGTACTCCCAGAGGAGCAGGTGGGAGCGCGGAAACAGAAGGCGCGTGTCAGGGGAGCAGAGGCCTCCTGGTCTTTATTCTGGGGGACTCTGGTGAGCAGGTGGGCGACACAGTGGCCCTGACCAGCAGGGGACGGGCAGCGGGATCTCAGGCAGCAGCCTCCCCAGGGGGCACACCCTGGGCTGGCCCCGTGGGGCTCCCCGCAGGCCTGTGGGAGGCCCATTCCTCGTGCTGCTGGGCTCTGTACTGAGTCCCTCGATGCCGTGGTGTCCAAGCCCAGCGGTCTCTCGTTCTCGGTGGCAGTTCATTCTGATCGTTCTCCCCCGACATTTCACTGTGAACTTCCAGCCCCGAGTGAGGAGGCCCTGAGGCACAGCCTGGCACCCTGGCCTGCCTGGCACCCTGGCCTGCCTGGCACCCTGGCCTGCCTGGCTGAGGGGTGGGTTGGTTTGAACAGCTGACGCGGCCATGTGACTCCAAACTCAGGAAGTAAAAGTGGCGGCAGGTTAGCTGGAACTTCCTTCCCCTGACCCGCCTCATCCCTCCCCAGGCCCAGCCTCTGCTCCAGGTCCTCCACCCCCCCCACCCCACCCCCACCCCCACCCCCGCAGGCCCGTGGCCTGGCTCCTGCAGAAGAGCTGCCCCTGTGCTCCCAGGCGGCCAGAGTTTCCAAGGATGAGTTCTTAGAAGGGATGGTGCCTCCCTGTGGCCTCGTCTGTGAGCACCAGATCGCCCTCTTAAAGCTCAGCTCCGCCAGCTGTGCGCTCCGCACACAGGCGCGCTCCTTGGCTTCGAGGCTGCGGTGAGCACAGGTGTCTTTCTGAGAATGATTTGCTCAGGCCCTTTGCCAGTTTGGTCCCCCCTCTGAGGGGGACAGTTTCCTGGTTTGGCAGGGGGTGGAACCCAGGGCCTGGCACACTGGGCAGGCCTCCACCCGAGCCACACCCAGCCGTGTTGGTCACGCTGCGTGATAAGGTGCCTCATGGCAGATGCCCCCGGCTCCTTCTCTGGAGGCTTCCAGCCGTGCAGGTGAGCTGGGGCCTCACAGGAGGCAGCCCCGTGGTTCTGCAGCAGCTCCCACAAGTCCAGAATCCTCCAGGGCTGAATCCAGGTGTGGCAGGCCTTGCCCACGGTGGAGAGACTCAGGAGGGTGATGAGCCGCCACCCGCTGTCAGCTGCTCTGTGTGTCCAGCCCACTGAGAGCTGGGATTGCATTGAGCCACAGGAGCTTGTCCTGGTGTTCATGGGGCAGAAGCCAGTCACCGGGAGTCGCAGCTGCTTCAGGAGGCTTAGCTGGAGGGGGAGGGGCTGGCCCTGCAGCTTGGCAGCCCCCCTCCCAGCAAGCAGGAGACTGATGACGGCCAGGACGAGGACCCCGGGGCTCAGGCCTCGGGAGCCAGCCCAGCCCTTGGTGTGACGGGCCAAGCACAAGTCTGTGCCCGCGCTTGGTCTTGGTGGTCTCACCTACAAGAGGGCGGCTCAGTTAGGAGACCCTGCAGAGGGTACAAGATGGGACCCGGGTCTCAGTCGGGCGGGGGCTACGGTCTGCATGCTGTGGGCTCTGCCTTGGGGTTGCTGGGTCCGCCAAGGAGCGCGGGTGCCCTGGCCAGTGGGAGAGGGCGTGGGAAATGGGGGTGCAGACCCACCTCCACCTCAGACACCAGCCGAGGCAGCCGGGCATGTGCCCACAGCGGCACTGAGCCAGCGTGGCCTGTTCCTCAGGAGTCTTCCTCCTCCCCTGCCTGTCTGTGGATCTGGTGGCCCTGGGAACCTCCTGTGATGGCATCACCTGGCCTTGGGCCTTTTGGCACTGGCTCATTGCCCTGAGCACCATGCCCTTAGAGCCGTGCTGTGCCGGTCACGGCATGTGTGGGGGATTCTGTCCATGGCTGGGTGGCACTCCAGCCGAGGTGTGGGCCACGCTCCGGGTGCCGGTCTTCACCTGGATCTGCATTTCCCTTCTCGCGGGGTGTGTCTAGGCGGTCACTGGGTCACATCGCGTTGAGCGTGACAGCTTCAGTTTAGGAAGAGGAGGACGTTGTGAAGGTGGACGGTGGTGAGGGCTGGCCACAACCTGAGTGTGCACCGGGAGTGGTCAGGACGGTGAATTTCAGGTCTTACTGTCACAGTTGTTAAAGCCACGCGTTGGTGTCACTGTGGTGCTCCTGGAGGAATTTGTTGGTTTTGTTTTTAGGGATTTTTTTGTGGGGGTCGCTAAGTTGCTGAGGCTGGCTTTGTACTCACAACCCTCCTGCCTCAGCCTCCCGAGGTATGCGCCACCGCGCCAGCTAGGATCTGTGCTTTAGAGCTTTTGGCTCTTGAGTGGGGCTTTGCTTTTTGACTTTCTGCATACCCAGCTGTCCACCCCAGGCCCCAGGCCGAGGAGACCAAGCAGCAGTGCTAGGATGGAGGAGGCAGGGGTTCCTGGGGCGCAGAGTGGGCAAACCAGGAAGAAGCGGCCGCCGCTGAGCCTGATCTGCTGCTGTGCAGAGGCAGCGCCCAGGTCCGGCAGGAGGCTTCTCTCACCCAGACACTGAGCACTTCTGCCTCACCTGCTCTCATGTGCATCACTGAGCACAGAAGCACCGTGGAGGCTCGGAGAAGTATGTGCAGCTGTGTGCCAATAAAGTTTTATTTACAAAAACAGGCGCTGCCCCTCTCCCGCCTTAGGCCACACCCTACTTCCCTCCCTAGAGGGCTCCTTGCTGGTGCACCGCTGACCTCAGCTTGCACATCACCCCTCAGAGAGGCCTCCCTGGGCTGGCTGTGCACACAGGACCCCTGTAGGGTACCGTGTGGTTGGGATCCGTCTTGGCCCCGGTCCCCATGTGCTGTCCCCTCGGTAATGTCTGCAGTGAGATGGAGCTCACTGACGCCACACGCACACAGCAGGCCAAGGCCTGGGGCTCCCGTGCCGTGTGGCAGGTCACAGAGGCCACCCTGCTCAGGGCAGGTCTTTGCTGAGCCACCTGCACCCTGCCAGCTCTCAGAGCCTCCAGAGCAGAGAGCCCTTCCCAAGCAGGCAAGGACCGAGGGCACAGAGCTGCCCCAGGGCAGCATGTGGGTGGAGGGTCTGCGGTGGCCTGGGGGCCTGGGGCCTTGCCAATGGGGGTTCCCGGAGGGCAGCCGGTCTGTCCCCATTCAGTGTTGCTCAGGCCTCCCGGACCCTAAGTTGTGGGAGCCAGTTCCACAGGCACTGGACACTTGGCTACTCCTCTCGTAACCCCCATGGGGGCTGCTGGCCCGGACTGACCTCCAGTCCTTCCCGCTTCAGGCTGACCTTGGCGTGCAGGCCCGGCCCTGCCCCACCATGGATCAGGACTATGAGCGGCGGCTGCTCCGTCAGATTGTCATCCAGAACGAGAACACGATGCCGTGTGTGAGTCCTGCCCCCTGTCTGTGCAGGGGGTCTCCATGGGGTGGGTTCAGGGGCCTGGGGACCCGTGGGGCCCCAAGCACATTCTTCACCAGGCTCCCTCTGCGGAGGCTGCTGGCCACTCTGGTCTTGCGCTCCCTTGGCAGGTGGCCTGGGTAGGGCCAGAGTACCCCAGTGCCCATGTCCGTCCCTGGACCTGGCAGAGGCCTGCTCTGGGACGCTTCTCCCCTCCTGTCCCTCGGCCTGAACCTCGGGCCAGCCCAGCACCTGATGACCTGGGCCCACCAGCAGGCTCCACCGTGTCAGCCGACAGACGCTTCCCGACCTTGGGGTCCTGAGAGGGTTCGTGAAAGGAGCTGTGGCAGCAGAGGCTGACCCGGGGCTCCTGGGTCTGGCTGAAGCAGTGTCCACCCGCCTCTCCAGGTCTCGGAGATGCGACGCACCCTGACGCCCGCCAGCTCCCCGGTGTCCTCCCCCAGCAAGCATGGGGACCGCTTCATCCCCTCGCGCGCCGGAGCCAACTGGAGCGTGAACTTCCACAGGATCAATGTGAGTGGCCCCAGGGGAGGGAGGCCGCCAGGGTCCACACGGCCTGCTGCCCAGCCTTCTCTGGCTGGACAAGCCAGACCCATGCCTCTCCCTCTCCTCCCCACGCAGGAAAACGACAAGTCTCCCAGCCAGAACCGCAAAGCCAAGGACGCCACCTCAGACAGCGGCAAAGGTAGGGCCCCGCCCGCCCCTTCGCCCGCCTGCCCGCCCGCGTCTGCCAGCCCTGGCCTCACTGTGCGGCTGCCCGCAGATGGCCTGGCCTACTCAGCCCTGCTGAAGAACGAGCTGCTGGGAGCTGGCATCGAGAAGGTGCAGGACCCGCAGACCGAGGACCGCAGGCTGCAGCCCTCCACGCCTGAGAAGAAGGGCCTCTTCACGGTGAGCTGCGCTGGCCACCCAGCCAGCAGGCCAGGTGCTGGGTCCTCCGTGGCAGCCAGGCTGAGGACCCAGCAGGTGGGCTGCAGGGGGCTGCACAGTGTCCAGGCCTCTGGTTCCTTCCCCACACCGGTCCCAAGCATCGTTCCAAATACCTGGGTCAGTGGGGCCCCTCCTGGGGGCCAGGTCGGGCTGCGGGTGGGTGCCCCAGCCGCACCCTGCCGTTCACCTCCTGAGCACACACGGCTGCGCGGACCCTGTGGCTGGTGCCTGGCCAGCAGCCTGCAGAGGCGGCCAGGGCCTCCTGCAGGAGCGCTGCACAGAGCCCCCCATTTGTCCTCTGGTGGGAGACTGTGGGCAGCAGCGTCAGGCAGGCCCGGCCAGGCACCTCCGCAGAAAGCAGTCCAGGTGCCCAGAGGCAAGGCTGCCCCGCCCAGAGCTGGGCTGCGCCGGGGTCACAGAGCACGCCTGGACGCCTGCCCGCTGGGGTGCCGAGTGCAGGTCGGGTTCTTGAGCGCCTGTGTCCCCCCCAGTATTCCCTCAGCACCAAGCGCGCCAGCCCCGAGGACGGCAACGACGTGTCCCCATATTCCCTGTCTCCTGTCAGCAACAAGAGGTCAGCCCCGTCTCTGGGTGGGCTGTCCCTGGGGGTCCCGGAGGCTTCCCAAGAGGGCCTGTCTTCCTGGGGCATGAGCCCAGCAGGGACCCCACAGCACTGGGTACAGCTGGGAGCCAGGGAGGGCGACCTGGGGACCTGGCTGCAGGCGTCCAGGGCTGCCTCAGCCACAGGGTGGACGTGGCCAGCAGCAGGCCCGGGGCTGGCGGGCGTGGTCGGCAGCTGTGCCGGGCAGGGCGCAGGCTGCTTGATGCTAAATGGCCGTCTCGGCTGTCTCCAGTCAGAAGTTGCTCCGGTCTCCGCGGAAGCCCACCCGCAAGATCTCCAAGATCCCCTTCAAGGTCCTGGATGCCCCCGAGCTGCAGGACGACTTCTACTTGAACCTGGTGGACTGGTCGTCCCTGAACGTGCTCAGTGTGGGGCTGGGGACCTGCGTGTACCTGTGGAGCGCCTGCACCAGCCAGGTGGGCCCGGGCAGAGGGCGGAGGAGGAGCTCTGCCCAGGGGAGCTGCCCTGCCTTGGCCCCTGCCACCCACACCTTCACCCTGTGGCCACGGCCGCTCTGCGGTCTCCCGCCCAGCTGTCCTTGGGCCTGTGCTGGCCTGTGTCCTCCCCACTCCAGGTTGGGTGCGCCCAGACCCTGACCACGGAGGACATGTGGTCTTACCCATCTCCTGTTGCAGGTGACCCGGCTCTGTGACCTCTCTGTGGAAGGGGACTCCGTGACCTCCGTGGGCTGGTCTGAGCGGGTGAGTCCAGAACCCGTCTTTCTCTGGAGAACCCTCAGGTGGCCCTGGGTGCGTCCCTGACCTGACCTGGGTGTGCTCCTGGTGGAGGGTGACAGAGACACATGCAGCCCTGGGACCCTGCTCAGAGTTCCTCCCCACAGGGCCCTGTGCAGGTGGCAGCAGCTCCTGCCCCTGCCCTGCCCCTGGCCGCACAAACCCCTCGGGGAAGCCGGGGCCCTGCCCAGCCCCAGCTGGCTCCAGTGTGCAGCCCCCAGCGCTCGAGGGGCCGCCCTGTGCCCCGCAGGCTGCCAGCAGCGCCTCCCCCTCCCGGGACTCCACGGGCCCAGCCAGCTGCTCCCCACGCTGCCAGTCGCCGGGGCCTGGGCTCAGCGTGGAGGTGCTGCTCTCTGTGAAGTCCCCACGTTGGAGTGCAGGTGTCCCATGTGTTGGGCCGATCGTCACACCCGAGTCCTGGGGTGCTCTGGGGGCTTTCCAGCCTCTGGCTGGTCACTCACAGTAGGGGGAGTCCGAGGCACCACCCCAGTCCCTGGAAAGAGGAGAACTGGGCGACCAGGTCCAGGCTGGCTCCCGTCCACAGGCTGGGCCTGACCCTGCCCTCTGCCCTTGCCCTTGCTCCCAGGGGAACCTGGTGGCCGTTGGCACACACAAGGGCTTCGTGCAGATCTGGGATGCCGCTGCGGGGAAGAAGCTGTCCATGCTGGAGGGCCACACGGCGCGCGTCGGTGAGGAGCCCGGGCCCTCCGCCCTCTCCCTTGGGGCCAGGCTTCCCGGCGGGCTGAGGCCCACTCTGCCTTCTGCCCGCCTCCAGGGGCCCTGGCCTGGAATGCTGACCAGCTGTCCTCCGGGAGCCGGGACCGAATGATCCTGCAGCGGGACATCCGCTCCCCACCCCTGCAGTCAGAGCGGCGGCTGCAGGGCCACCGGCAGGAGGTGTGCGGGCTCAAGTGGTCCACGGACCACCAGCTCCTCGCCTCAGGGGGCAATGACAACAAGGTAGGCACCGGCGCTCGCACCCCAGCCCCAGCTGCCCACCTGCTGCACGCTCTGCTCTGTGGGGACACTGGGACAGGAGGCCGGGTTCTGCTCCTGAAGTCCATCTGACTTGAGCAGGGTGACAGGGGTGTGCCCTGTGGCCCCCAAGGGAGGGCCTGGGGAGCAGGTACCACCTCTTTTCTGGGGCTGGCCTTGGGGACATGTGCCTCGGGCTCACACAGCCACTGTTCCCCAGCTGCTGGTCTGGAACCATTCAAGCCTGAGCCCCGTGCAGCAGTACACCGAGCACCTGGCGGCCGTGAAGGCCATCGCCTGGTCCCCTCACCAGCACGGCCTGCTGGCCTCAGGAGGCGGCACGGCTGACCGCTGCATCCGCTTCTGGAACACGCTCACGGGGCAGCCACTGCAATGCGTGGACACGGGCTCCCAGGTGTGCAACCTGGCCTGGTCCAAGCACGCCAACGAGCTGGTGAGCGGGCAGCCACTGGGCAGGAGGGCGGGGCAGGGTGGGGACATGGGCCGGGCCTGAGCCTCTCCCTGCCAGACCAGCAGGGTGACTGGTCAGAGAGGCCGGCTGGCCAGGAGGCCCCGTGGCTGCTTCTGTGGGGAGAGGGTGGAGAAGGAAGCCTGGCATCCCCTGGGCACACTGACCCACGCCTGTCCATCCTTCCATGGGTGGAGGAGGGTTTGCAGTGGGCACAGAGGCAGGGGCTGCAGCGCCCTGGGATGGGGTCCTGTGGGACTCCTGCCACTGACTGCTGAGGCCCCCACACCCCGGGGCGACCGGGGGGCCAGTCCTCCTCCAGGCACCTCAGCCCTGGGCGCAGGAGCAGCCACCACGTCCTGGAGCCCAACCCAGCCCTCCCCTAGGTGAGCACCCACGGCTACTCTCAGAACCAGATCCTCGTGTGGAAGTACCCGTCCCTGACCCAGGTGGCCAAGCTCACGGGGCACTCCTACCGCGTCCTCTACCTGGTGAGTGCGTCCTCTCCGGGCTCTTCTCCTGGACCCATGGGAGGAGACTGGGGCCAGGCTGGCTCTGGTGGCAGGTCACGGGGGATGGTTGCTACGTCTTTGGCTGAGCCGCCTCGCCCACCTGGCCCTCCCGGCCACCTCCACCCCTTTACGGGTTTTGTTTCCCATGAGAAGCCAGCCAGGGACGGCCAGCGTTGGATAACTGGGGTCTCACAGCAGAGCCCTTTGACCACAGAGGGCAGGGCAGCTCCCCAGACCCCCTCGCGCTGTTTGCCGCGCTGGGCTGGCACCCAGGGCCTCGCACCTGCTAGGCAAGCACTCCACCCCTGAGCTACAGCCGGGCCTTTTTATTTTATTTTGAGACAGGGCCTCGCTAAGTTGCCCAGGCTGACCTCGAACTTGTGATCCTCCTGCCTCAGCCTCCCGAGTAGCTGGGATGACAGGCGTGGCCATTGCTCCGGGCCTCTGCAAGTTCTTTCCAGCAAAAAATGTTTTTGTGCTGGGCTGGGATGTAGCTCGTGGGTAGAGCGCTTGCTTGAGCATGTGCGAGGCCCAGGTCCACCCGTAGTGCCCTGCGCCAGGTTTAGTGCTTAAGGCGGCGTGTCCACCTGTGCACGTGTGTGCCCTTGCTCCTGGGCACTCGGCTGCCTGTCCTTGGGTTTCGATGCTCTGCCCCGCTCCTGCCCTGCGCGGCCTCTGGCCCTTGCCCTTCCTTCTGGCCTCCAAGGCTGGGCTCTGCCCCTGTGGCTCTGATGGCATCTGGCTACCCATACCTGCTCCCAGCCTTGTGCCCCCAACTCGGTCCCTGGGCTGCCTGCGAAGACCCAAGGACATGGAGGGGTTTCTGTCCTCTGCACAGGCAATGTCCCCTGATGGGGAGGCCATCGTCACTGGTGCTGGAGACGAAACCCTGCGGTTCTGGAATGTCTTTAGCAAAACCCGCTCAACCAAGGTATGGTGGGTGGGGCTGCCTGGCCGGCCCGCAGCCTGTCCGAGCAGGCGGCGGCTCACAGGCTCCGTGTCTGCAGGAGTCCGTGTCGGTGCTCAACCTCTTCACCCGGATCCGGTAGACCCAGCGGCAGGAGCATGCCACGCCTCTGTCCAGGCAGAGACCCCTGCTCATCCGTTTGCATGGACCCTGCCGTCCCCCGCACACAGTCCGGAGGAAGCGGCCGGGTGGGCGGGAGCTGGGCCTGGAGACACCCTGGAGAGTCTAATTAAACGCCTGATTGTGAACCATGTCCACCAGTATTTGGGGCGGGGACCAGGGACCCTCAGGATGGGGGCTTCGTCTCCCTTCCCGAAGGGCAGGAGTCTCCCTGCAGCCCTGAGACCCAGTGCGGACGTCGGCACTCGGAGCAGGATGGACGCCTCTGGGACCCGCCCGCGTCTGTGCCTCGCTGGGGCCGCAGCTGTCCTGGAAGCACGTGCCCGTCTGCTGCCACTGCCTGCTGTGCTGACCTGCCAGCTGGACGCCAGGGCTGGCCAGTGGGGGCGGCCAGGAGGGAGGCCTGAGGCCACGCATCCAGCCAGAACTGCACCGCTCAGCCCGGCCTGAGGAGCCTGCAGCCACTGGGGCGTCTTTGCAGCCATCTGTGTCACCACCCGGCAGGGGCCTCAGCGGAGATGTCGGCAAGCACCGGCGTGGATCCGGCCGGGCCTGTGTCCAGGGAGAGCATCTGGGTGGACTCGTCCTCGGGACAGCTGCACTCCGCCATCGCCGTCCTCGCCTGCTGCCCGCGTCTTTCCGCCTGCGAGACTTGAATGTTTCTGTGCCTGCTGGGCGCGGGGGTCCCAGAGGCTGCCTGGCCAGGGCTCAGGTGGCCGCGGTCATCTGCAGCGCCTCACCTCCTGGCCTTCCTACCCGGCCACCGGCCGCCTGCCTCAAGGAGGCTAGAGAGGACAGGAGCAGGGACGCCCGGGCCACCAGCAGCACCCTGGGCCTCCCCCGATGCCGGATCCTGCTCGTCGTCCTGCTGGCCCGGGCACAGTGCCCTGCTCTCATCGCCCCTGAGCCCGCAGGATGGGTGTGGGTGGGCCAGAGCAGCCACCTTGTCCCCTTGTTGATGGGTCCTGGGCAGGTGGGGTTGGGCCTGGCGCAGCCAGGGAGGCCGCGCGGGCTGGGTGCGGAGGCTCCCTGCGCGGTGGCCGCTGGCCGTGTGCATGTGTATATATGTATTTGTGACTCTGCATCCGTTTTCTGTGTTCTGTCAGCAGCCCGGCTGGGGGGTGGACGGGAGGCCCGCCCTGCCGCCTGCGGACGCCCCCTGTGCCGGAGCCAGGCTCCGCCCTGCAAGGCCAGCGCTGGGCCCACCGGGCCTGCCTTCCCAGGGTCGCCGTCTCGGTTTTGACTTTTTTTTATTTTAATAATAAGGAAACCCCCCACCCCCACCGCGGCCTGCTCCCAGCCTGGAGCAGTTGCCAGTGGCAGAGTGGTGGCCACAGGACCTCTGGAGCCCAGGCAGTTAAAGGAGGGGGAGGGGAAAGAGCGGAGTGTCGGGTGGGTGGGGATAGTATGGGAGTGGTGGCCACAGGACCTCTGGAGCCCAGGCAGGGGGCCTGCTACTTGGAGGATTCAGGCGTGGGCGCTGGGTCCTGTGGGAGGGGTCATCAGCAGGCCACTGTCCTCCTATCACCTGGGGGTTTGTGCGGGGGAGGCCCAGCTGGGCATCTGTGTCCCTGCCTGGAGCCAAGGGCACCTTCTGTTGGCCCACTTGGGGCACACGAGGGTCACTGGGTCCAGCATCTCCTGCCAAAGACAAGCCACAGTCACAGTCCTGTGGGGCCAGGGCCAGGTGCACACCCTGGGTTCCTCGGGCCACCCTGCGATGGGCTGCTGCCATCGGGGAGGGGAGGGCAGCACAGGAGGCCGGGAGCTGGGCTCCTTTGGCAGCAGGTCCCAGGTGGAGGGCCCAGAGGGGCAGGAAGGACGGGGAGAAGGGCGTGAGGCCAAGCCAGCCAGAGACTGTTGGTGGGGGACACAGGGCAGCAGCGTCCAGAGCTTCTCCTGGTCTCACAGGCGAGGGAAAGGCCAGCGGGTCCAGGGGGGCGCAGAGAGGCCCTGCAGGAGGCCAGGGCTGGCTGTGGGGGACGGGAGGCAGGAGCAGGATCCTCTTGGGGGCAGCGCCAGGTCGTGGGGTCTGGCCAGGGGCCTGGCCACCTGATCAGAATCCAGAGCCTCTCAAGCTGCATCCAGTGGGTGAGTTCAGGTGGATTGGGGTCACTAGGAGGCCTCTGCATTGTCCCACAGACGGGGACAGGCTCTGGCCAAGGGCACTGCGTGGGGACCTGGGGGCACACCTGGCTGTGAAGGGGGCCAGGCTGCAGCAGGAAGCCTGAGCAAAGGCCCTGGGCTCAGGGGAGCCCCGGGATGGGCAGGGGCCGTGTCCACTGTTGGGGACCCGTCCAGGTGGGCAGAGTCTGCGTTGGCTGGGTTCTGCCGCGCTTTCGGTCACAGTCAATAAACACAAAGTACCCGGATAAAATGAACCAGCCAGTGGCCTCGGCGGTCTTAAGGCCTCCAGCGCCAGCTCCAGAACATTCCGTCACTGCAGGCCCCTGTGTCCCTGAGTGGTCTTCCCCTCCCAGCCCGGCATGGGTCCAGGTCCACCTCTGACCCCCATCCCAGGTGTGTCCTGGGCATCTGTGGCTCTCAGGTCCAACCACACTGCAGCTGTCCCCTCCCTCCTGCCCGCTGCCAAGGGACATTCCAGCCTGTGTGTGTGGACCGTGCTGTGTGTCCCTTCACCCCCCATGGACACTGAGTCCACCCGAGCCCTGGGCACACAGGTCCTGTGCTCCTGCCCTGGATGTGCCACAGCTGTAGGAGGACAGGGCCTGGGCCGTGGACTGCCTGCCCCCCCAGACTAGGACACAACAGCTGGGGGGCACTGAAGGGCTCCCCACAGCGGGGGGAGGGAGGAAGGCCAGGGCGGGACCAGGCCAGCCCCACTGGTTGCCAGGTGGCCTTTGTTGCTGTCAACAATGGCCCCAGGGGCCTTCCTGGCAGGAGCCTGCAGGGACACAGAGGCAGACATGCAGACCCTGAGGCGGGAGGCTACCCGGCCCTGTGTCCCCCTGGGCACCCTTGAAACCGACTTCCCAGCTTCCCTGGACAGGTGAGCACTGTCCCAGCCACAGACGCTGCCTGGCCTTTTCCTTCGGTCCCCAGCTCAGTGTCATTTGATATGCTGGTGACACCCCTCTCCAGCTGTGGGGCCAGGGCGCGGGCAGCCTCACCTGGGGTCACTGCCAGAAGCAAACCCAGGGCCCAAACAACAGAAGAGCCTCGGCTGGGGCCACTCCAGGTCAGGTCCGGGGGCAGGGCCCCCTCGGGAGTCCTGGGGCAGATACCCCCTCTCCGCAGCTCCAGGGGGCCCTGGCCACCGTGTGCCGTCTTTTGCCCGTGTCCAAACTCTTCTTTAAAAGGACAGGGCACCCGAGTAGGCCCCCAGGGGCAGCGTACTCATCTCACGGGGTCACACTAGGCAGAGCCTCTTTCCAGACAAGGCTGCTGCTGAGGCTCCAGGGGACGTGAGGGGCGTCCCTCACCCAGGGCAGCTTCTGCTGAGGCCCCGTGATGGGCGGAGGGAAAAGCACGCAGCTGTGCAAAAGGATGGGCAGGAAGGAGTTGGGGCCCTCCCAAGGGGAGAAATGAGTTCAGAAGGAGGGGCAGGACAGTGTGTGTGTGTGTGTGTGTGTGTGTGTGTGTGTGTGCGCGCGCATGTGTGTCTATCTCGTTGCCCCCCCCCCACCTGCTTGCCACTCGAGGGGAGGACACTGCCGGGGACGGGGACGGTGAGGGTCTATCATCACATCATCACACCCTTTTCCTTCAGTGCCTGGATGAACCAAGGCCTCATGCTGGGCAGCACTAACCACTGGACTGTTGCCTGGCCCCTAGTTTTAGTCTGAATGACCTTAGTGAAGTGTGGTTTGGGACATTAGTAGCACATCTCCACTTCCTGTTGGTACTGCAGATCCTGTCTCTTGATCTGTGCCTTTACCCACTGCCTGCTGCCCCAGGGCCTTTGCATGTGCTGCATGCAGCCTCTGCATCACCTACCCAGCCTGGGGCCACCATGTCCTCCCTGGGCCATGCCCCCAGCCCCCACCCTCCTTCACCCAGCCTGAGTACCTCCAGGCCAGGGCTTCCTGGAGGAGGAGACCCAAGGGTCCTAGAGCTAGAGAAGGGTGGCAGTTCCCTGGGAGGGTCTCCTGCGGCCGTGGCCACGTGGGGCGGCAGGAGGCCAGCCACGGCCTGCCCCAGGAAGGCTGAGGCTGTGCCCCCGTCCTCAGCGATGACTATGAGGCCCTGGAGGGGCCCCACTGGACACCGGCTATCAAGCAGGCCACGCGCTGGAAGTACTCGCCCATGGGACACGACGCCGCGGGCCAGGCGTGGTACACGGGCCTGACCAACTCGGAGCCCCGGGAGGCCTGGTACACCCTGCCCCGGGACCCCGAAAGCCCGCACCGCGAGGCCTACTCCCGGTGGCACCGATGCCACAACCACCGGGAGCGGGGCCTGCCCCCAGGTGAGTGCCCTGGCCCAGCCCCGGAAGGCAGGGTGCCCGTGGGCGGGCGCGAGTGACCCCCTGTCCCTGCAGCCTACACCCAGCGCCTGCGAGAGACGGCCTGGCACGACCCCACCATCCCCGCGCAGTACCGCGGCTCCAGCACGCGCTGGGGCAACGCGCTGTGGAGGGACCGGCCCCTCCGGGTCAAGGACTACGGTGAGCAGGTGGCCGGGACCCTGGCAGCGGGGGCGGGGTGCTGGGGACACACGCTGACCCGGGTCCCTGCCTGCAGTGGTCAACAGGAGCCGATATAAGGCGGAGCCGCACTCCCACGTGGCCGACTACGTGCCCTACCTGTCGGTGCCCCAGCGCCCGCGCTACACCACCCAGAACTACCGCCTCTGGGACCTGGATCCCTACTGCCCCGCCACCGACCAGCCGTCCACCTACACACCCACCTTCTGATAAAGTTCGTTCTGCCCATGCCATGGCCTCGCTGGCCACCTCCCTCGCTGGCCACCGCCCTCGCTGGCCACCGCGCGGGGGACCCTCCACCCTCCAGCTTCTCCCCGGCTGGGTCTGCCCAGCCAGGGGCCACACTAGGGCCGGGGTGCAGGTGACCAGAGGCCTGGCACACCAGGGACGGCACACAGCTGCCCGCCCACATTAGCTCCCCGGGTCCCTATCCGTCCCCAGGAGTAGAGGAGTGGCACCCAGTGCAAGGTCTTTATTCAGGCCCCAGCGGGTCCCCAGCCCCTGGCAGCCCTGCAGCCCCACAGCGGCCGCGCCACGGCCCAGGCCGGCCTCCTGGCAGGAGCGGGTGCGACGCCGGCGCGGAGGCTCCCAGGACAGAGGGACGCGCACCGGCTCTCACCCTGGGGGCCCCAGGCCTCGGGGTGTCGGGACCACCAGGTGTGCCCACCCCGCGGGGCTGAGCCGGCAGGGTCACCCGGTCAACGCCTCGGGGCTTCCTGAGGCCTGGGGACCAGGTGTGTGCAGCGCAGGCGGCCGAGGCGGTCAGGGTCGGTCTCCAGGGTCCCCTGGAAGGGAGAGGTGAGGGTGGCGTCAGAAGGAGGGCCTGTCCCAGGCCCAGCCAGCCCCACCTGGGTGGAGGAGAGGAGGAGGTGACTCACGGCTCCGAAGGTGGATGGGCCACACGACCAGGCTGCACAGGGCCAGGGTGGCCAGCACGCCCACACCGCCGGTCACGGCCACCATCACCCAGTGGTAGAAGCCCACGCAGGACCGACAGCAGAGTTCCGAGCTGGGAGGGCAGAGGCGGGGATACCTGAAGCCCAGCCACAAGCACACCTCAGAGTGACCAGGGCTTGGCCTTCTTGGTCACCCGGAGTCTGGACACTTCTCCCCTCCTGGACCTCCACCTGGTGCCAGCTCCACCCTCACCCGCAGCCTGTCCTCCCCACAGCAGCCACCAGAGGGCGCCTGTAAGCCCCTGGCCCAGGCCCCGCCTCTGCCCACAGCCCTGGGGCCCAAGTCCTCTCAGCCCAAAGGTCTGCAGGAGCCGCCCACCTCTGCCGCCCTCCTCCTCCCGCTGCTCCCCTGCTGCCCGGGGCACCTCACGGTGCCTCCAACACACTGGCCTCAGTCCTGCCCCAGGGCTTCGGCACAGCTGCACCTCATCCCTGGCCCAGGCCTCCCCACCCCCCTCCAGGTCCTCGGTCCTGCTGACCAGCCTCCCCAGGCCGCTCCACGGGACTCGGCACCAGTGCAGCTCACTGACACCTCGGCCCTCTGGAACCTGATGCTGGGCCTCCTCAGTGGCCTCCCTCCCCGCCCTCCCCTGCAGTGGGCCTGCCCCAGGGGAGGGCCCGGGTCCCCAGCTGACCCTTCAACCCTGCAGGGTCGGCCTCAGGCCCCGGGGGACACTTACGGGCAGGGGTGCAGGCTCTGCACCACCATGACTGCCAGCCCGTTGGCGACCTTGTCCGAGAAGCTCATGGCCCCGTACACGAAGGCCCCGCTGTGCTGGGGGACAGGACGAGTCAGCGCCAGGTCAGCGGCTCCGTCCCCTCCCCGGCCCGCGCCGCAGCCCTACCGTGTGGGGGCCGATCAGGTCCGCCGTCATGGCCAGGGAGGTGACGAGGATGGTGGCACAGCCTGCGCCCAGCAGCACCGCCGCCACGTACACGGCCACGCCCAGCGTGTCCACCAGCGCCACCCAGGCCGCGAAGACCAGGACCACCAGGAGGCCGGCGAAGTAGGTCAGCTGCAGGAGGCCACACAGTGGGCACCCGCGCTCACCACCGCCTGTCCCCAGCAGCCCCTCTGCTGGAGCCACTGTGGAGCGTCCACCCAGCAGCTGTGAGCCCGTGGCCATCTACACCCCAAACGCCAGCCCCTAAGGCGAAGACAGGCCCCGGGTGCCCTCAAGCGCAGGGAGGGCAGCGGGAGAGCCCTGAGCTGCACGCCCCTCCCCCGGCCGCCCACTCACGTTCCTCCCGATGCACTTGTTGACCGGCTTCATGAGGAAGGAGGACAAGAATCCACTGAGGTACATCACCAGCGGAATGGTCGCGATGAACCTCTGCGGGGCAGTCAGCAGCAGCGCTCAGTCGTGGCTCGCAGGGCTGGGCCACCCCGGCCACCCCTTCCCGGCCGCCCTGCTCACCTTGGGCAGGTGGAGGGAGTAGGTGAGGTACATGGCCATGTAGGTCTGGGACAGGTTCACAATGAGCCTCGTGGTCATGTACAGCACACCCACCTGTGGGCAGATTAGCAGAGGGGCAGCCAGTGCTCAGCCAGGGCCCCCTGTGCACCCAGGCCAGCAACGCGGAGGTGAGGGGTTGGCGGCTGGCGCTGGTGGGCGGGGCGATCTGTTCTGGGCGTGGCCCGGGGGCGTGGCCCGGGAGGCCAGACCCACCTGGTAGAAGGCGGGTTCCTGGAGCCAGTGCTTCCAGAGCAGCAGGGGCTGTGGCCGGGGGGCCACCAGCGGGCTGTGCTCATCGGGCTCCTCGCCCCGCGGGCGGCGCCCCTCCCGGGTGCCCAGGTGGAACAGCAGCGAGAAGACAGCACCAACGCCCACCACCATCAAGGACAGGTTCTAGGAAGGCAGCAGGAGGGTCAGTGGCCGCCCTCCGGGCCGCAGAGACTCGGTGGCCACCTGCTCCAACTCACCCGGAACACTGGCACGTCCTGGACCCCCAGCTGGTCACCCACGCTGACGTCCTGGGCAGGCCCGGAGCTTGAGGAGCCCTGCAGGTGCAGCAGCAGCCAGGCGGCGCCGAAGACAGTGATGTTGGCCACCACCGTGAAGGCGTACCTGGCGGGGGCGGGGCCTCAGGCGGGGCGCCACGCAGGGACGCCCCTGGCCGCGGCCTCCCAGCCTGCCCGTGTGCACCACTCAGCACAGGGAGGCCGCCACCAAGTCTGAAAACCAAAGTGCTTAAAGATGGAACTCTGTCCCCAAAGCTGCAGGGAGACAACTAGGGTCTGGAACCAGCCTTGGCTCCTCCTGCCGCAGGCTGCGCGCCCGGGCTGGAATGGCGCCTGGGTGTGACAGGAGTAGGTTTCCCTTGATGAAAGTGGTGTCGTGCCACCTGCAGAGTCCCTGTGTCCCCACACTGAGTGGCCCAGAGTGGCTCGGCCCAGCCCTGCCGGCAGGCCCTGGGGATGCTGGCATTGGGTAATGCCTGCCGTTAGCATGGGCCACAACGGGGAAGTGGGAGGTCCCGGGAGGAGCCCAGGGCAGTGCCCAGTGCGGCTCTGCCTGCAGATGCCGGTCAAGCCCTGGCCCAGGACAGAAGTTCGGCTCAGTGGTCAGCCCTGGCCTGGGGGCGTTCAGGCCTTGGCTATGTCCCCAGTACAGCAAAACAGGACAACCTGGCTTTGGGCCCACCTTCCCTGGACTGTGAGTCCCGACTCCCAGATTCCCAAAGGGCTGGCACCCAGCAAGCACTCAATAAATGCTCTTATCACTTCCAGAATAGCATCCTCTGGTGCCTGTAGCTAGCCGGAAGTAAGCCAGGCACTAAGTGTACCATGTGGGAGGCAACAACGGCCCATGATTCCTCTTCTGTTCAGTGCCCAGGAGGGGACTGTAAATCCAGGACAGTCACCTACCCAGGTGTAGGTGACACACTGAAGCAGAATAAAGGGATCTTGCAGGTGTGATTTGGTCCTTAGGAAGGTGGCCTTGGGTGGGCCTGGCGTAATCAGGTGACCCTTTGGAGGTGGGCTGAGAGCCCCCGAGATCAGAGATGCCCTGGTGACCATGTGCACTAGGGTTGTAGGAAAGCAACTGCCACCAGGGACAGGCACACATTAGGGGACCCCAAACCTGGCACAAAGCCCCAGCCCCACCTCAACGACCCCCAGCCCAGCTGTGCCAGTGTGGCACGCCAACCCTGAGCACCCGCCACGGTTCTGGCTCGAGGCTCGCCTGACCCGAGCGTACCTGAGGGCCGTGAGCTCCACCTTCTCGTGGTCGCTGGTGACCAGCTCGGGGATGAGGCTCAGGTGGGCGATCTGCGTGGCGGCCCAGCCGAACTGGAAGGTGACGATGAAGGGCCCGTAGTAGAGGAGGGCGGCCCACTCTGGGGTGGCCGCCCCACAGCCCAGGCACGGGCTGAAGATGAAGGGGAAGGACAGCAGGACACAGATGGTGCCTGGGGACAGGCAGAAGGGGTGTCACTTTCGGGTCCTCCCACACCAGCCTGGGCTCCCTAGGTGTGACGAGGGGGACGTGGAAGCCCCCAGTCCTGTGGCGGGCCCCTGGGAGGCAGCGCCAGGACAGGTCTCCTCGCCGGCCAGGAGAGCAGGGAGGGCAGGACGCTGGTGCCGGCTGAGGGAGAGCTGTCCCCAGCAGAAGCCCTGCCTTGCCCAGCCCTATCCTTCCCTCCCGGCCCAAGAAGGCCTCTCGGTCCCCAGCCAACACCCAGAGGCCACTGTCCAGCCAGGAGGCCCCGGTGGTCCTGGGAAGGCCCTGCTTTTCCCGTCCCCTACCAGGGGCCTGTCCTGGGGATGCTGAGGTATCGTGGCCCCGAGGACGGGCTGAACCCCAGAGCAGAGCCCACCACCGCCCGAGACCTGCTGCTCAGAAGAGGTGCCTCCCGATGAACGGGATGCTCCTGTGCCCAGGCCCCGCCCACCCCTCCCAGCCTCCCTGTGCCTCCAACACTGCCCTGCCCCGGGGCCTCTGCACACTGCACCCTCTGCCTGCCATGCTCATCCCCTCACATCCCAGCAAAGCAGCTCCTTTCCACCCCATCTCAGCTTGAATGTCACCGCCTCAGGGAAGCCCTCCCTGACCAGCTCCACCACCAGCAGGCCCCTCCTGGCCCTGGACCAGGGACCTTGTCTGCTCCCCCAACGCAGCTTCACGGGGTGGGTGGCCGAAGGCCTCCATTCCTCCCATGTCCCTGGCACTTAGCAGAGAGCCTGCACCCCAGTGTCCTTCCAAGGAGTTGACAATCCCGGGGGTGGCCTGGTGGGTGGCCGTCCTATCATCAAGGCCAGCCTGGGTGACTTCGGGGGATCCTGCTCAATAGGAAAGGTCTGGGCTGCAGCGGGGGGCGCTAGGTCCCACGTCAGCACACAGGAATGGGACTGACGGGTTTTAAGAACAGGGGGCTGCACGGGCCCAGAGGGCAGCCGGCCCACTCCCTTTCCAGACAAGGAGAGGCCAGAGGGAGCCCCAGAGCCAGCTCCAGCTGCCCGGCCTGCTCCCCCCAGCCCCGGAGCGCCCAGCCTGGGGGAAGTGAAACCAGGCCTCGCCTGCTCTCCAGAGCCACCCACTTCTGTGGAACTGGTGCCTAGGAGGGGTCCTGGCAGATCCCCGGAGGCCACCCTGGGGCAGGGCGCAGTGAACTTCAGCCCAGGGAAGGTGCCTCAGGCCTGGGAGACTCCTGCTGCCTGGCGGGCGAGGGCAGGCGAGTGTCTTCAGGTAATGACAGCTGACACTCGGGTGGGCACTGGTCAGCAACGCCAGAGACCTGCTCTTCCTCCTGCCACAGCACTCAGAGCCGCGCCAGGGCTCACCTTTCCACAGCGCCCCCTGCCCCGCACCAAACTCCTACTCCAACTTCAAAGCCCCACGGCCAATGTCCCCTCTGCTTTCTGAAGTCCAGTCGCGCCGCCTGCCCTGTCTACAGGAGGACTCAGCTCTGGCTCCGAGGGTCCTCCAGGCTGAGGAAAAGCCTGAGGAGCTGGTTAAGAAGGAAGGGCCTGGCTCCACCGTCCAGACCCACTCCCGGAAACGGAGAGGTGGGCGCTGTTGCCAGGGCGACCTAGGCTGGCTGGCTTCCTCTCCAACATGGGGGCCTCCCAGCCTAGGCCTCCCATGTGCCCACCCTGAAGTGGGGAAGGTGCCGGCAGCTTGGTGTCTGGAAGGCACCCACCCCCAGGCCCACTTGGCAGCACAAGCCGCAGTTCTGCACCCACATGGGGCCTGCCAGGGAGGACCTCCCCTGGGGGAGCAGTCAGCAGCTCTCCCCGGCCGCCCCTGCAGCTGCGCTCCAGGCTCTGCCACTGACAACCAGCTCCCGTCACCTGCCCCAGGCTGGCCTCCCTTGGTGGTCAGCGAATTTCCCAGCAGCCAGTCAAGCTGCTGCACTGGGCCCTGCACCCAAGCCCTACATCAGCCCAGGGCAGGGGCCAACTCTGCTGTCACTGTGTCCCGGGAGGCCCCTGCCCCTCCCTATGGCAGTGTCTCAGGTGACCCAGGAAGAACTCAGGGATCTTCCTCTGCAAAACCTGAAAATCCAGGCCCTGGGGCTAAGACCACAAGGATGTGGGCCACCCACAAGCCACCTGCAGGCCACCCACAGGCCACCCAGAGATCTGCTGCATCTTGCAAAAAGTGTCACCAGGACCTAGTCCTGGTGACACTGAGGGCAAAGGACACCAGCCCACCCCTCCTGCCCCCCACCCTTAGAATTCCAAGGAGTGGGCAGGCGACTCTGCCATGCTTGGCAGGCCCAAAAGGCCAGGCTGAAGCTGGCAGTGCCTCCAGGGCAAACCACAGGGCACCTGGGGCTCATCTCAGGAGGCGCAGGCAGCAGGCCTGGCCTTATCAGGAGCAGCAGCCACACGCTGCGCCAGCAGGAGCAGTGTCCCCCTCACCAGAGCCCTCTGGTCCTGCCTCTGGTCCTGCAACACTGCCTCAGCCAACCACACTGCAGACCCCAACCCTGGTCAGAGGAGGCACAAACACCGGGCACAGACTTGGCCCCTCCAGGCCCACCCAGCCCCCAGCTCCTGGCTAGCTGGGCAGCACCCACCCCTTTAAAACACCAGGTCACTGAAGATGGGGCAGGGCTGGACAGGGTGCTCAGGGGGAGGCAAGCAGAGGGAGTCTAGACAGCTTGACCTTCCTCAGACAGAGCTCTCCCGGACGGTCACCCTGATCAGACACACGAGGAGGCCAGGGTGGACCCGACAGACATCCAGGGAGGTGCTGGGCAGTCAGACCAGGCCCAGAGAGGGGCACACTTCCCCTGGGGCCCCACAAAGTCATATGACAGGCTCTGCACGCCAGACAGAGCCTAAGAAAGCCAGATGAGGAAGGCTGGCCTTGGGCAAGCAGAGGGGACACAAGGCAGTTCAGCAGCTCATGAGTCAGGCAGCCAGAGGGGTACTGGGCAGTGGGACAGATGGAGGAGGCTCAGTCCAAGGGACAGGCAGAGATGGGGCGACATCGGGGGTCTCAGGTCAGGGAACAGAATCACAGAGGGGAGGAACGCATGTCACAGACAGAGGGGTTCTGGGTCAGACAGATGGAGGAGGCTCAGTCCAAGGGACAGCCAGACCCGGAGCTCCTGGACAACGGGACAGGTGCCCAGGCAGAGCAGAGTGGGGAAACTCGGCACAGGTAGACTGAGCGTTCCTGAGTGATGGGACAGACAGATGGAGGAGGCTCGGGCCATGGGGCAGGCAGAGGGGGTCTCAGCAGTGACTCCCAGGGCACTGTCACACAGGGTGGCGGCGGCCCCGCGCCCGGGTGGGCGGCGGGGAGGCGGGTGCCTTACCGACCAGGTGCCAGGCCTTGCGCGGGCCGTAGCGGGCGCAGCGGCCGGCGGCGCGGTCGGCCTCGTAGCCCACCAGGGGCGTGCACAGCCCGTCGGCCACCTGGCCCAGCAGCAGCAGCAGGCCGGCGCCGCGCGAGCTGTAGGCGCGCACCGAGTGCAGGTAGAGCAGCAGGTAGGTGAACCACATGGACGCGCACAGGTCGTTGAGGAAGTGGCCCACGGCGTAGCTCAGCCGCGCGGCC